TTTGAGAGAATAAAAGGTCTCAAAATTCAGGTTTTATCTTAAACAAGAAAACAAATGAAACTCAAAGGATCAGAGGCAAAGCTAGAGACAGCACATGTAACTCCCATCCGTCTCCAGAGCGAGCGAGACATTAAAGTCACCATGATGGCTCACGCCTGTGGTCCCATCCTTTAAATGACTGGCAAAAAGTTGCCTGGGTTTGAGGCCAGCCTTGGGCACAGAGCAAATGAATTCAAGGACAGACTGGCTACAGAGTGAGACCTGCCTCACAAGTACACCCACCCTCGGGAAGGCTGGAGACTGGGGGGGCAGGAATCAAAAGTTCTTTTTTAAAAAAACAACAACAAAAAAAACCCTTTATTTTATGTACAATGGTGTGAAGGTGTCAGATCCCTTGGAACTGGAGTTACAGACAGTTGCGAGCTGCCATGTGGGTGCTGGGAATTGAATCCATGTCCTCTGGAAGAGCAGCCAGTGCTCTTAACTACTGAGTCATCTCCCCGGCTCCTGAACCAAAAGTTCTTTGAAGAGAAAAAACATTTTCACACTGATCAAAATTAAAGATATAAATCACAAAAATCATGAAGGAAGAAATTACTGTTGCTCCTAACGTTCCCAGGGTTTATGAAGGGCACTAGGAGACACAAACGAAACCGACCAATCCCCAGACAGACACAGCCACCCGGCTGAAGAATAATTAGCAGGGTGGCTGTGTCTGTCAGCTACTTGGAAGGCTACAAATCTTGGGCAACACAGTCAGACTAATGTGTGTGTGTGTGTGTTTCTATTTCACAGACTCTGGGTCTCTCTGTAGCTGAGACTGGTGTCCAACTCATGGTCCTCTCACATCAGCCTGAGAGGGAGAGTCTCTTGGAAGTGGCTTGTGAACACACCTAATACCACATTGAAGTCTCACGGACAGCAGAGGTCACATGGCTTCGCTAGTGTGTTCTATCACACAAAGGGGGTCCTCCCAACTCAGCAGACTAATTTTTTTCTGATACCAAAGCCCAAGAAAGATATCAACATATAAAAAACCCAAAAATTCCTAATATTGCCAACTCCAGTTCAGCAACATCACATACCTTGCCCATGTGGGATTGACCTCAGGAAATGTAAGACTGAATGTTAGCAGTGTAGCTGGCCGTATGAATAGAAAGCAAAGCCTATAGGATCAGCTCAGAAGAGTGTTTGGCAGCGTCCAACATTAATTCACAAAATCTCTCCACAAACACTGGAGCTTCTTGGCCTGAAAGAGTACCGTGTATGCCTTCACCTGTTGCTATGAGACCACGGCCCTAGACACAATCCACAGGTGCACCAGCTTGCAGTTTGGAGGTTGGAAGTTGACATGACTCATCAGGTGTCCTCAGAGCTCACTCTTGAAGGCCCAAGAAATGTTTCCTTGGTCTGTCCAGCTTCTTAGAAGCCACCTCCGTCCCCACCTCATAGCCTTTTCTCCCCCTGCAAAGCTGGAGACAGTGGCTGAGCCCTCCTGACTCGGCCTCCCACATCACCTTCCGAAGCCAGGACCCTGTGTTTACTTTGGCCTCATCTGGGATCTTAGTAAGGTCCCTCTGTCATGTAATGATCACAAATTCCAGGAATTGGGAAATGGGCATCTCTGGCAAACATACACTGCCTCTTAGAATCTGTGAGAATCATACAGTCAGATCACAATGACACATGACTTAATTCTCCTACACAGGGACAAGACAAAGTCATCCTCTCTTGCCACTTCACAGGGCACTGCAGTCAATCATAGAAAGCATGCCAGGGTATGGAGAATAACGACATGGAGAAGGTGAATTAATGGCACAGCCCTGCACAGCAAACCCCAAGGAGCACTGCTTCACACTAGAATTAACGAGCTGGGCAGAGTCTTGGGTTTTAAGATAGATTCATTGTATCTCTACATAGTAGTAACCCAAAAGTGAAACCAAAGCAGTTTCATTCTCAGTAGCAGCAAAACCATTTTATCAAAATGTAAGGTTTACCCAGGGAAAATGGCAAAATGTTCCTAAGAGAAATGAAGGAGCTAAACCAATAGGCAGGCAGCCATGCTCACCAGTGAGACAGGCGCTGCTAAGGTGCTGGTTCCCCACAAACTGATCTGCAGGTTAAAAAAGCACAACCCCAGCAGGATCCTAGCATGTGTTTAAGAAAGTAACAAGCGGGTTTTAAAATTATGCAGTGATTCAAAGAAGCCACGTGAGCCAAAACAACTCAGACAAAGAAGGCTTGGGGACCTCTGACTAACTGAAGTAGGTACTACAATGAGAGTGTGGTACAAGGACAAGGTTAGGCGCCAGGATGAGAGACAGAATCAAGAATGAACTAGTGTGCTGGTAGCCATTTGTTTTTGTTGGGTGTCAAAAACAGTCTTCTCAACAGTTAAGACACCCACATGGTGCCACACAACTGTCTCTGCCTCCGGTGCCAGGGGATCCAGTGCCCTCTTTTGGCCTCTTCAGGCACCAGGTTTGCATGCAGTACATATATGTACATGCAGGCAAATACTCATAAAAATATTCTTAACACAAAAAGGGCAAAAAGACTACACATCTTCACAAGTGATGAAAAAATGGCCAAGAAAACCCATGGCAGTCAGTACAGTTGCGGCTCTGAAAACACCGCCTGCGTGAAGACCCCTCCCCCACAGAGCTGGCTGTGGGCACATCTGCCGCATAGCACTGTGACGTGGTGGTGGAGACACACCAATCTCTCGGGCCAGTCTGACCAGTCAGTGAGCTGCTGGTTCCGTTTGAGTCTTGCCTCAAAAAATGTCAGAAAAGTGGCTGAGGGGGACACTGGATGTCCCCGGCCTCCACATGTACGCATACACAGCACACAAAGCTAAATGCTAACCATCTGATTTTAAGTTATATTACAGAGCTATAACAACAGCATGATACTGGAATAAAAACCGACAACTGATCAATAGAATAGATCCTATGCTCACCTGATTTTTAAAAATACATTTATTTTATATCCTGGTCACAGTTTCCCCTCCCTCCTTCCCTCCCCATCCCTTCCCCACTACCCCTCTGTTCCCACCCCCAGATCCACTCCTCCTCCATTTCTGTTTACGAAGGGCAGGTCTCCCATGAGTGCCAACAAAACAGGGCATATCAAGCTGCAGTAAGACTAAGCACCTCCCCATGTATTAAGGCAGCTTCAGTGTGCTCAGCCTAACCAGAGGCCCAGAAAACACAGACCACTAGGACAGCCATCTACCAGTAGGTAGCACGCGGAGATGGCTAGGGAAGCCATATGGACCCCAAGTCCTGCCCCCACAGAGACACCCACATTCCCTTCTCAGGCTTCATAGCCACCACCCACAGCTTCACTGTGAGTGGTCCTGGAGGGAGGAACTGAGTGGCCAGTTAGGACAGATGTACCACATGGCTGTCTCTCACGCGGGTGATGTCCAGAGGCTGACCCGGTGCACTCTGCATCTGATGGCATATTCAGGGCTAGACACAGGCCCCACGGGCCCCAAGCATGGCCCTGGGAAGGATAACCTTGACAGGATAGCTGGGCTGTTGGGAAGTAGAGAACTCTGGTTATGTTACTGTGCTGTGTGACTGCAGGACTCAGGAGGCTGACTTGGCTCTAACCAAGCTGTCAAAAGCCTGCGAAGGCCTCCACTCCACATACAGTGGTGTCTGCAGTGGACAGGGAGATCCCAGCCTAGAGTAAAGCTGGGCCCCGCAGGGACTCCCGTGCAGTGCTGCCCGGCCCCCTTTCCCAACAGAGACTGAGGCAGGCCACTGGCCCCACAGTCCTGCTGAGCCTGCACTTTTACTGTGTAAACTGCTCTGTAGCTCTGGGCGGAGCTTCCCCCTGCCGATCTATAATTTCTCAGAAAAGAGGCTGAGGAATAACCTGGAAAATGCCCTAGAGATGAGGCAGCAGAGTGGAAGCCACAGCCCCCTGACCCTCCCAGACCTGTCTACTTCCTCTGTCTGCTTGGAGATAGGTCCTAATGTCCCCCAACCCCCCCGAGAAGTGCTCCCCCTGAAACCCAGCACTGCCTTTCCTGGCCCCTCCCGTGTGCATTCCCACCACCCCAGGCAGGGCAAAGGGACAGAGCTCAAGGCAGGGTTCGCTGAGCTTTGGAGTGTCCGCCAGGTCACAGCTCTCAGGCCCTGGAGGAGGAAGCCGAGATGTGGCTCCGGCAGGGTGAGTGGAGCCAGGGCCAAGTTGAGGGCCCCATGAGCAGCCCCCTAACCTACCCCAGAGGCAGCACGTTTATCCGGGGTCTCTACACACAAGGAACTGTGGTAGTTAGGCCCTTGTTGCCGCTGAGGACAGTCAGAGGCCCGTGGAAGCTGCTGGCCCTGGCCCTTAGGGCCTGGGTGTCCCACTGCCCTCTTGCCAGCCTTTCCCAGGAGGGATGTGCTACTGAAGGCAAACATGAGGTAGCTGGTGGCCCTGCCAGGTGTTCCTAGAAGAGGCCCTGGGGGAGGGGCAGTGGCCAGACATCAGCTGACCTAGAGGTCACTGGAAGGCTGAGACTGAGCCCTGGACAAACCCCTGGGCTGGGAAGCCCAAATGGTGGAACCCACTTAGCCTGTAAAACCCCAGGTAAACCAAGTGGTAGTGGCGCATACCTTTAAATCCCAGCGCTTGGGAAGCAGAGGCAGACAGAGCTCTATGAATTTGGGGCCAGCCTGGTCTACGGAGTGAGTTCAGGATAACCAGGGCTACACAAAGAAACCCTGTCTTGAAAAACCAAAAAAAAAAAAAAAAGCCAAAAGAAAGAAACCCCAGCTCAGGCAACATGCTAGAAATTTAGGAGGGTCTGTAAGAAACAGGCAGCAACTGCTTAACCCGACACAGCCATCTGCTCAGTATGGGGCGGGGGTGAGGAGGGTTCCCCAAGGACCGGCGAGCACAAGGGTGTTCTCACCCTGGCTGAACCTACTTCGAGAGAGGCCCCCTCTATCTTGAGCACCAGATCCTGTAAGGCTACTCCAACAAGCCTCCACCTCCAACACCTGCATGGGCAACCTTCAGAGCCCCACCTCTCCCCTGCACCATCTGCACCCAGGAGACTTGCGGTTGAGACTAGCTGCCCAGCACGAGAGGGTTAAAGGAGACCGAGTGTGGGGCAGGGCCAGCTTAAGGCTGCCAGCTACTGGCAATGAGGAAATCCAGAGGGCAGCAGCCCGCACTTAGACAGCCCTCGCTCACTGCCTGCCTACAGCCAGTTCTGTGTGAGGCACAATGGCCCCGAGGACAGGTGAGGACCCCATATCCTTGCCACTTACTCTGAGGGTAGCTGGCCCTCAACCCTGAGCCCACTGGGAAAAGCTGCAGTGAGCTCGGCTCAGGGTGGGCTGGTGGGAATTCTGGATTGGGCCTTGGATACTGCTAATCATGACCCCAAGGGGTCTGTTATGCTCTCCCTTGGTGGTGGCACTGGGGGAGGGCCAAACGAAGGCAGGGCAGGCAGAAACAAGTCCTGAACCCCTGGGCATGACAAAGTGCAGAAACGAGCCCAGCGCTCCCCACAGCCCTACCTCACAGCTTGCGGCGATGGTGTGCTAGCCACAGCCTGTGATCCTTCTAGCTACTGCTTCTCTCAGGGGCCCAGCCCCGGGTGAGTAGGAAGCCAGTGTCTTATGCCTTTGGCATGCTACCACAATGCCAGGGGCTGCCCCATGAAGTCTCACTCCAGAACCATTGTGCAGTCACGCTGGATGCATGCTGTGTGGTGCGGAATGGTGCTGCCCAGCCTGAGCTGGCGCTCTCGGCATACCTGAGGTGCTGGCTGAATCGTGTGAGTGGGGTCAGGGTTTTCTAGACCCCATTCTTCTGCCAGCAGGTGGTACAGCAGGTGGTACAGGCTGCGTATACTGGGGAGCAAGTAGGGTGTGCCTTTCCCAGCTAGGGGCCAAACAGGCAGGGAGTGCCCAGCTTGCTGTTCAGTCACTGGGGACCACAAATGAATATGCTGCCCGGGTCTGTTCCAGAATATTCTGGAACAGCCAGGTCTTGGCCAACAGCTCGGCTCTGCTTTTCAGCCTGACTGTGTATACCCCAGAGGACACACACTGCCACATGGCCTAGTGGCCAGGGCCAAGGTTGCCTGTGAAGCCAGGTTGAAATGGAAGCTCTAAGCCCAGGGTGCAGTGAGATGGGGACCACCACTCGCTGGTTCCATGAACTGGAAAAGTGAAGTTACCTCCAAGGATAGGATCTGGCTGCTCATATCAAAGAGGGTTGATCACAGGTCTCAGAGCTCAAACAACACCCTTCTCTTACAGTGGCTGAGGCCTAGGGAAGCCCAGGGGTTGGCTCACATCCTGGGTCACAGTCCTCTGGGCACCTCCTTGCCAAGCCCTTCTCCCCACAGGAGGCCCAGCCCTGGTCATACTTCTGGCTTTCTGGGTGGCACTGGGCTCCTGTGACCTGCAAGGGGCAGATCCTGGAGCATCCAGGGATGCCGAGGGCCCCCCGTGCCCTGTCACCTGTACCTGCAGCTGTGACGACGACACGGAGGAGCTCAGCGTCTTCTGCAGCGCGAGGAACCTCACACAGCTGCCTGACGGCATCCCAGTGAGCACCAGGGCCCTGTGGCTCGACGGCAACAACCTCTCCTCCATCCCCTCAGCGGCTTTTCAAAACCTGTCCAGCTTGGACTTCCTCAACCTGCAGGGCAGCTGGCTGAGCAGTCTGGAGCCACAGGCGCTGCTGGGCCTGCAGAACCTCTACCACTTGCACCTGGAGCGGAACCTGCTCCGAGGCCTGGCTGCTGGCTTGTTCACGCACACGCCCAGCCTGGCTTCACTCAGCCTGAGCAACAACCTCCTGGGCCGGCTGGAAGAGGGGCTGTTCCGGGGCCTCGGGCACCTCTGGGACCTCAACCTGGGCTGGAACAGCCTAGTGGTACTGCCCGATACGGTGTTCCAGGGCCTGGGTAACCTCCGGGAGCTGGTGCTGGCTGGCAACAAACTGGCTTACCTGCAGCCTTCGCTCTTCTGTGGCTTGGGTGAGCTGCGAGAGCTGGACCTGAGCAGGAACGCGCTGCGCAGCGTCAAAGCCAATGTCTTCGTACACCTGCCCAGGCTGCAGAAGCTCTACCTGGACCGCAACTTAGTCACAGCTGTGGCCCCCGGTGCCTTCCTGGGCATGAAGGCACTGCGCTGGCTGGACCTGTCCCATAACCGCGTGGCAGGCCTCCTGGAGGACACCTTCCCAGGCCTGCTGGGTCTGCATGTCCTGCGCCTGGCACACAATGCCATCACTATCTTGCGGCCCCGTACTTTCAAAGACTTACATTTCCTGGAGGAACTGCAGCTTGGTCACAATCGCATCCGGCAGTTAGGTGAGAAGACATTTGAGGGCCTTGGGCAGCTGGAGGTGCTCACGCTCAATGACAATCAGATCCACGAGATCAAGATGGGTGCCTTCTCTGGCCTCTTCAATGTGGCCGTTATGAATCTCTCCGGCAACTGTCTGAGGAGCCTCCCAGAGCGAGTGTTCCAAGGCCTGGGCAAGCTGCACAGCCTACACCTGGAGCACAGCTGCCTGGGCCGCATCCGCCTGCACACTTTCGCCGGCCTCTCGGGGCTGCGCAGGCTCTTCCTCAGGGGCAACAGCATCTCCAGCATCGAGGAGCATAGCCTGGCGGGGCTCTCTGAGCTCCTGGAGCTTGATCTTACCGACAACCAGCTCACACATCTGCCCCGCCAGCTTTTCCAGGGACTTGGTCAGCTAGAGTACCTGCTTCTCTCGCATAACCGGCTGTCGGCGCTGTCTGAGGATGTCCTGAGCCCCTTGCAGCGGGCCTTCTGGCTGGACATCTCCCACAATTGCCTGGAGGAGCTGTCGGAAGGCCTTTTCTCACCACTGGGGCGGCTGCGCTACCTCAGCCTCAGGAACAACTCTTTGCACACCTTCTCGCCACAGCCTGGCCTGGAGCGCCTGTGGCTTGATGCCAACCCCTGGGACTGCCACTGTCCCCTCAAGGCACTGCGTGACTTTGCCCTGCAGAACCCCGGTATCGTTCCCCGCTTTGTTCAGACCGTCTGCGAGGGGGATGACTGCCAGCCAGTGCACACCTACAACAACATCACCTGTGCTGGTCCTGCCGACGTCTCAGGCCTCGACCTTCGAGACATCAGCGAAACACATTTTGCGCACTGCTGACCCTGGCTACCACTGGCCTGGTTTGCCCTAATGCTGCCTTGTGGTCAGGACAGTATCTCACTGTTACCAGAATCGCCGGCCCTCGAAGCCAGTGGGGGTGGGGGTATAGGGGACAGGTCCTAGGTTGCTCACTTCTTGGAAGCAGGGCAGTACCGGCAGCTATGTGGCCTAAACTCAGAAAGGTGGGCACAGGCCAGGTGCCCAAGGACCCAACCAGGAGGCGAAGCACTCAGCAGCACTCCCTGCTGGCAACAATTAAAAGCAAGCACTAAGCATGGCTTGTCGAGTGTGCCCTTGGGGAAGGTGGTCTGTGGTCTCTGTCTTTGTCCCCACCTCTTCTACCCTGTCCTAGCTCATCTACCTGAGCCCATCTGAGCCTTGTTGCTGCTGGGAACATGCATCCCGCTTCACCCTGCGGTGTCCATGTCCTCTTGGGCTTCTTGGGACCCTCTCCTCCAACACAAGGAACTACAGGCACCTACATCTCCCCAAATCCTGGCATTGCAGCCTTCCCTCAGGGCACGACACTGGGACCAGGTGAGCTTCTCACAGCTGTCTGGACCCCAGGTGTGGAGGTCACCACATTGCTCACTGCTGGGCATTAACTGCTGGGGTGGGGTGGAGGTGAGGACAGCGCCTTCCCATCTGACTGCAGGAACCATTCTCTGGATGCTCCCCAGGCCCCCACTGTCCCCTGGAGAGCTCAGCTTTGCCCCAGGAAGACATAACAGGTCACCAGCTGCTTTCCAGAGATTTCCTTCCTGACTTTTCCAGGAAGGAGGAAAGGGCCTCCGTGCCTCAGCTCTCATCCTATGGCTTCCAGCTGCCCCAGGCCCACGGGGTCTCTGAAAACACAACATGCTGACATCCGTCCCCAAGACAAGACAGACATCCTCACCATTATATCTTTACTGACACTGCCTGTTCCAGACCTAGAATGCAGCAAACGCCATCTCACTGAGAACAGAAGGGTCTGGATGCTGGGTTCTTCACAAGGTGGGGAGATAGTTTAATGGTAGACTCCTGCAAGTTACCAAGTAAACCACACAGTGCATCACGGAAGGCTCCACAGTGCAGCCCTTGTGGGCACTCAGGGTGATTCAGGAGGAGAACGTACTGGCCAGCTCGTGTACAGTGTGCTGTCTGAGCAGCCTGTGGAACTGGGGTGGAAGGAACTAGGGCTGGACAAAGCCCATAGGGTGGAGGTTAAGGCTGCGACCATCTCAAGAAACTAGGACCCAAACCGTCCCCTCAGCTACAAACTAGTCTGGTGAAGCCACTGATGGTAAAGAAACTCTGCCCAAACATTCCTGGGAATGTCACTGGGGCCTGCAGGGAGATGTCTGCATGGAAGCCATCACAAAGACCAGCCATTGCTTAGGCCAGCAACCGTAGGTCCCAAGACAGTCCTGAGGACAACTGCTCCCAGAATTCCTGTAGGCTGTCCTGCTCCCAGAGTTCCTGTAGGCTGTGGACAGGGCACACAGCGCCAGGAGAGGCTGTGAGGCTGTCAGGAGTGCAGAGCAGGCATCCTGTGCAGAACTTTCTGGGCAATGGAAGTGAGTGCGGCGTACGCAGTGCTCTTGGGGAACTCCTGGATGAAGTCACGGCCCTCCTCCAGGCTCCTGGTGAGCTGCGGATCTAGGGGAACAGAGCCTGCAACAACAAAGGCCAGGGAAGGGCCGACAGGAGGGCTCAGTGGGTGGAGGTGCTGTTTCCGAGTCTGACAACCTGACTTCAGACTCCGGGACCTACACGGTAGAAGGTGAGAACTGACCCCCCCCACACACACACACAAACTGGCACCTGACTTCAACATGTTCCCTGTGGCAAGTGCCACAACCCCCTCCCCAATAAACAAATAAAAATAAGAGGAGTGTCAACTACCACACATCTGCCAGAAACTCAGGCCTGACCTCCCTGACCCCCCACTTAAATAACTGGGGCAAGTGGCAGAGCCTGGTCCCCCTGCCACACGCACAACCAGAAAACTGCTGGGCGGTGGGAGGTCCACATAAACACCAAACCTGACACTCACTGAAGTCAGGCCTAACACTTTGGTCAGACCCACTCAGAAGCCTGGTAGGTGCAATCTGGGACCCTTGCTGGCTTGCTCTTGACACTTACCTAAAAAGGGGACTCCAGCCAGCTGGGCCAGCTCCTTCCCTCCGCCCCTGGAGAAGACGTTGGTGCACTCCTAGGAGACAAGGGCTATGAGGGTCCAGTCTGCAGACCCACAACCAAGGTGAGCTCTCCAGCTGCTCCAGGGGGAATACCCAGGTAGGAACAGAGTCTTCATTGGCCAGGAAGTCACTTATCTGAACTGATGGACAGGGGACTTTCTTACTGGAAGTCTCTGACTGTGTGCCCTGTCTTGCACTCCCTCAGACCTTGAATTAGCCCCCCCATCTTCAGAGACTCACAGCGCAGTGTGGGCAGGCGAAGCCGCTCATGTTCTCCACGACCCCGATGACCTGCAGCCCAGTCTTCCTACAGAAAGTCAGTTCCCGCCTCACATCCCCAACAGACACTGCCTGTAGATCAGAGTAAAGAGGCCAGTCAGCCACATGCCAGCCAAGACCACGTAATCAGCAGGGAACATGGCCCACCAAAGCCCAGCCCAACAGAACACAGGCACACAGACAGACACCCCCCCCGCCAGGTGACATTGGAGGAGATGCCAGTAGTACCTGTGGTGTGGTGACCACAAGGGCCCCCAGGGGCCTGTAGGGGCGCAGGGCTTCCACGGTGGCCATGTGCTCATCAGAAGTCCCTGGTGGCGTGTCCACAACCAGATAGTCCAGCTCTCCCCAGGCCACGTCAGACACGAACTGCTTTATCAGTGCTGCCAAGACCCCAGAGACCGGCAGTAACCTGAGGGGGCGTTAGGCTGGGGAGGCCCATCTTGTCCAGCCCCCAGCCCCAGGATCTACCAGCTGCTACTGGGCAGCTCTCAGGGGACGGTGGGAACACCTGCCACACAGGCAGCAAGGGTCCTTGATCTGCGAGGTAACTGGGGAGGCAGAGCTCGGGGGCCCCCACAAACACTCCGTGCTTCCCAGCACTGAACTGCGTCCACACACTCCACTTGACCCGGCTATACCCCTTCCGGCCCCAGGTGAGGATGAGTCTCTCCGAAGGGCCCCTGTGTCCTCTAGGCCAGAAAATGGCCTGGCATGGAGCTCCTTGCCGGCATGTCCAGGAGCAGCGAGCCATTCCCTCTAAGTGTGCTCTTCTTCCCGGGAAGCCCCTCACTACAGCCAGGATGGTCTAACGTTACCTCCTTGAAGCTCAGCACTTGGCCCACTACACACTGTTGCGCCTCAGACCCGTGTGCTGAGAGAGGGCGAGGCTCTCAGGAGACCTCCCTTCCTAACTAAGAGATGGACAACACAGGCCAAACAACGCTTCTCCCCTGATGTGGGTCTCTCGTCGCTCTCTCCATTCAGAGGCTGATATGGTTGTCACAGAAGCTGGAAGAGGCTTCTCAGGGACACAGGGGTGTGTATATCCAGCTGGATGGGCATGCATGAGCAGTGGAAGCGTTCCATTGGCACAGAGTCTCCAATACCAAGAGGCCAGGGCTAGATTCTTAATTTACTAAAGGCAGCAGCCATGATAGGAGGGAAAGTAGCCGCAAGTGGTACTGAAAGGTCAGCTGGGGGACCTCCCCCCACCGAGTTCTTACCGTGTTTCTTGGGACCTCTCCACACCACGGCCTCGTCAGGGTTCTCCAGCAGGAAGCCCACGGACATGAGGGAGATGCTCTGCTCCTGATCCACAAAGACAGGCACCCAGCCATGGTCACACTGGTGCACTGCCTTGCCTTGTGCACGGAGCATGCGTGGGATGCTGGGCCCGCACAGGTCTACATCTAGGATCCCCACCTAAAAGAGAGCGGATGCTGAGGGGTGGGGAGAAGCCTTCCAGGATTGCTGGGAGCTGGAAACTAAGTGCAGCAGGTGTCAGCCCGAGTCGGGGCCTCACCTTCTTGCCCTGGTGGCGCAGCGCCAGGGCCAACTCCGTGGAGATGGTACTTTTCCCAACGCCCCCCTTTCCAGAGAGGACAAGGATGATATTTCGCACGCCGGCCAGATTCTCGGGCTCTGGTGAGAAAAAGAAGTTGGGGTGTCCGGGAGAGCGACAAAGACAAAGGCACCCTGGTAGCAGGTCTTCTAGAAGTCCCAGACCTGTCTCGGTCTCACTTCTGTCTGAGGTGGAGTAACTGAAGGCACGTGCACACTTGACACTGTGTGCTAACGCTCACCTGTGATAGTCCTCAAACTGCCAGCTCCCTTCAACAGAGACAGAGGAAACACAGAAGCCAGTTTATCAAGCTAAGCGGCACCTGTGCCCGAATGCACAGACTCCACATTACAGACTGCAGTGGGCTCCCAGCTCTCTCGAAGGAGCAAGGCTGAGGACCTAGAGCAGCCGTAACCGCCTCCATGTGCATCCGCGTCACCCGGCTGGCTCGGTAAACAAGGGGACATGCCATGCATTGGCATTTCAGGCTACTCTGTGTGCAGGCCACAGGTGAGTCGTTGCACTCGGTCCGCCTTCAGACTTCCCCAACCCCTCACGCCTGGCCGACCCGCACACTCACCAGCTGCCGCCTCCATCCCGCTGCCAGCTGCTCTTCTCGGCTCCCTTCCGCTTCCTCTCCAAACTCTCCGAGCCTTTGAACCAATGGCAACAAGAGTTCACCCTTGGCTCATTTTGAGAGGCCTAGTCTCGCAATCGTCAGCCAATCAGATCACCTGAAGAGAACCCAATCCTGGCAACTGAAGATGACGCCACGGACACAGAAATACTTCCGCATGCTTGTCCAATAGTAATGCGAGAAAAATTTTGACAGCTCTAGCGAGGACCAGTAGGAACTTTGGTTCAGGATTGACAGGTCGAGCAAGCCTCTCGACAGCAGCCCTGTCTCGCGAGACCCGCCCCCGCGCGAAGCCGCGGGAGAGCCCGCCTTCGGCTGCCCGGCCAATGCAGCGCGGGGGCGGGGATTGTTTGCGTCGCTGCCGGAACGG